TATCGATTGGATCCCCGTCAACAGTCGTTTATGTGCAGTGCGTCTCCTGGGTTCAATCAGTGTCCGGAAGGAAAGCAACAACAATAGGTATTTGTTCATCGTATGGTGACATCATGACGAGACAGCACCTTGGCGTGGTGTGATGGCTTGAGTGCTTCCATGAATCTACGAGCCATACAGAATGGCTTTACACAGCAGTAGATTCAATCATACCTCAGAGGTCAGTGAGCAGAGACCAGACAAATCTCAGTCTTACAAGGACAGCTGCTTGGGCACCTCGCTTCCTTCTATCCACACCCGCCCGCGGAGAGGCCACTCCAGCAAACAAACACGGTGATGGGCAGTTTACTGGTAAAAAATCCACTAGCTGGACGTAGAAGCGGGATACCTGGGGCTTTCTCTCGACGGCGGGGGAAGTCTTCCCACTTCATTGGGCAGCTACCGCCCGCCCAAGCTGGGCAGCCCCCAACGAATAAAGTGCTCTCCCGTCCACGTTCCGCTTGTCTCATTGAGCGCATGAAGCTAAGGGCGGATCTCGAAAAGCGGACCGATAATCAACGCACCAGCGAACAACAAACTTAACCGAAAACCGAAGGTCTTGCGTGACAGGTCTCTAGAAGCTCCCACACGGGTGCTTCGTTCACCCTCCCGCGTTGGATTCACACCTCACTGCCTTGTGGGTCAGACTGAAGTCAAAGGCTCCGGTTAGCGTTCCCAAAGAAAAACTCCTTCGTCGGTGTGGGCTACCGCGAAGTATGCCGTGCCCTGAAGTCTTAGGCACCCATTTGGAACACGATCCTTCCCTTCTGTCTGATTCTTCTTCTCAACCCCGATTAATCCCAGATGGCTCCTGTTTACGCCACTCATCGAATATCACTCAGCGTTTTACCATCAAGGCCAGAGATTCAAAAGCTATAGGATTCTTAAAGCCAAAATCTCCTTTTCACTTGGCCGCGTTCAATGTCCGCACGCTCTATCAAATTGGCCAACAAGCTGCCCTGGCTAAAACTCTCGAAACTTTCAATGTAGGTGAATGTTGTGTCTCCGAAACACGCATACGAGACTCTACTTCCATTTTCTCTCTGCGTTCTCCTGAACCAACCTCAACCTCACGCTTCATCCTTCCTGTGTCAGGCGATTCGGCATCCGAAGCTCGCGGTGTTGCTGGTGTTGGGATTGCGCTAAGTGCCAAGGCTGGGCGCTCGCTTCTTGACTGGATTCCAGTCAGTAGCTGATTGTGCGCTGTACGTCTCAACGGTTCAGTTCGAGTCAACAGCTACAGAATGGGGCGTCGATGCATATTCGTCGTATCGGCGTATGCGCCGACCGATTGCAGTATTCCTGAAATCGAGGATGAATTCTACCAGAATCTCTCTCAACTACTCCAAAGTGCTCAATCAACAGACGTTGTAGTAGTCACCGGAGACATCAATGCTCATGTGAGATCCCTGGACGAATCCGAAAGGCTTCTTGGCGGACCACACGCAATCGCAGCCAACCGGACCGACAACGGAGATCGCCTACTTCAACTCCGCACTGACCACGGATTGTTCCTGTCAAACACGAACTTCTCGCACAGGAAACGCCATCGACTTACATGGAAACCGCCAACCTCTTCACTACGCTGGACCCAGTTTGATCACATCGCCATCAGTTATCGCTGGAGGGGATCAATTCAAGACTGCCGCTCTTACTGGTCAACACCTGTGGATACAGACCACGCCTTGTTACGAGCCAAGTTCTCCTTACGCCTGGCAAACAACCGCAAAAAAGTCACCGACATTGGATATCCGCGGTACAGTGTCAGCGATTCATGCAAGTCGGCCTTCGAAGCGGAGCTTTCCGATCGCCTGTCAGTTCAACCGCCAGCCGAAAGACTCAATGAACACTGGAAGAAAATCCAGGAAGCTATGCAAATGTCGATAAAAACAACGTCGGACACTGCCACAAGCTCAAAACACACGATGGATATATTCGATCTCGGTTGCCCTGCTGGACGCCCGGAGAACCCTTCCTCCGGATGCCACATACGACACAGCGCGCAAATCCCTTAAACGCCAGCTCATCAAGAGTTTGAGGAATGACTGCGAGAAGTGGTGGGTAGAAAATTGTAAAGAGATGGAGAAAGTTGCAGCTATTGAATTCAGGAGTTTTGTCAACTCGAAGACTAACGCTGAGCCTCCATCCTTAAACACTGATGGGAACAGCCCATCTGGGCTGGAGGTCTTATGCCGTTCGAGATAACGTATTTCCCGAGATACTCATGCCCATATGGGCCAAAGGCCTTATGCCTTTTGAGATAATTTATTTCCCGAGATACCTCCATTTCAGATGGAGGACTAGAATAAACTGGGAGTATTTGTCCAGTCGAGGCGGAGAGTGAAAGATAAGCTGTCGATGGGGGCCATTTGAACTGAGCCTTAAAGTGTTCAGCCAAACGGTCAAGACGGCGTTGCTGACCGTGTATCAGTGTGTCAGCAGAATCCTTAATCACCTCATTTACGTTTATTTTCCTAGGACCCGTATTCCTAATTAAATGGAAAAGGTTACGACTTTTACCAATAGCTGCAACTTTCTCCATCTCTTTACAATTTTCTACCCACCACTTCTCGCAGTCATTCCTCAAACTCTTGATGAGCTGGCGTTTAAGGGATTTGCGCGCTGTGTCGTATGTGGCATCCGGAGGAAGGGTTCTCCGGGCGTCCAGCAGGGCAACCGAGATCGAATATATCCATCGTGTGTTTTGAGCTTGTGGCAGTGTCCGACGTTGTTTTTATCGACATTTG